AGTTCAGTCACCGTGCAGGAAGGAAATGAAGATAAACAGATAAGTACAACTGACAAAAGAGTGACAGAGCAGAAAATGTCAAATTCCCCACATAGTAATGTGGCTATAGCTATAGATGACTCATGCAGTTAATAATGAAAACAGCAGAAATTAAAACCAGTCTTAAGGTGTCGAAATTTGCGAGACGTGAACCTTGACCTCCAGTGAAACCGCTTTTATTTAGGAGCAGAGCTGGAAGAAAAATGGTGAAAATACTTTATATTTTGAGAGGCCATTAGTATTTATAAATAAATACTAATAAATACTAATAATTTTTTCTTTAAAGTAAGAAAAAAAAGTAAGAAAAAAAAGTTAACATGGGGTCAAATGGGACAAAACTGTTACCACATCAGAGATGTATCTTCTTTTGCAGAAGCGTCCACTCCTGAGGCTGATCGTGTAGCAAGACAAAAATGTGCAAACTGCACGCAGATTGCAACACTTGAGATGACTTTGCTTCCAACACAGCAGCTTTCTGCTTGAAGAAGAGACAGGAAGCAGTTTAATCAAACTCTGAGAAAAAAGACCTCCCTTTGAAGCCGTTTAGTTTCAGAGACAGGCACAGAGATTCGATTACCTGCCATAAATCTGATTTTAAGACCATCTGCAACACATCAACATTTCACGCGCATGGAGAAACAAACCTGTTTTCAGCTTTGTGGTGATGCATTTTACACATAATCCAGTGACTTTCTGAAAGCTTTACTTAATTTAAGAAGCGGGAGATCACGTTAGGCCATAACAGACGACCTAACCTGTGAGTTAACCTCGGCAGCAGCTACATGAAATGGAGATTATTGTTTCATCTTTTCTAGAAAACTCAACGATTTCAAGCATAAAGCGTGACGGAGATGCGATGAGGGAAAATAACTTGCAGGCAGAATTTAATTTAAATTTCGAAACAGGTTTGTGGGCGTCCCTGTGAAACTGGCTCACAGGGTAAATTTGTCTTACTCACCATGAAACAACTTCAGCTTATAAAGACAGTATGTCTTTACTGGCACAAGGAAACAAAATCTATAACATTACAAGTCACAGTAAGTGAGAGCAGAGTGAGAGCTGCTCTTAACAGAGCTACTACCTTTCAAAGAGTCCCCAAACTCAGAGTTATGATTCAGGAGAAGCGTTTAGAGCAACTTGGATGGATTAAACAACATTAAAGTTATCTGTAACGTCTAAGTCATAATCAGTAGGTGTACATTTACTACAGCTGAGCTGTTTCTGCTCCTCCTGAAGCCTCTAAGACTTCATGTGCACCAGCAGGTGGTGCCGCAACCAAAGATGGTCATAGCTTATCCTGTCCGTCCTCCCGGCTTCTTGTGAAAACAGTTCCTTTACTTCACATCCTTGAGTCTTATTTTGGTATAAAGAAGAAAATACAAAAAGAAGTCGCCTTGGTGTTTGGTGGAGACGAAGACGGAGAGGAAGGTCCTTCAGGTTCTGTCTCGCACGTTATCGCTCAGGAAAATGATGTTGTCTGCAGAGAATCAAAAAGAATCAGAGAGGAGAACATCAGGGTGACATGTTGACAAAGTAGACGTGCGTCACTGGATTTAGGCTTCAGCTGGAAATCTACGCTTTAACTGAAAAAACAAACAAACAAACAAACAAACAAAAAAAACCCTGAATCCTGTGCAAAAGTCCCAGCATTTTATGTCTTTCTATTGGCTGCTACTGCATATGAAACACAGAGACACCACCACACAGTAATAAACAAGTAATAAATGCCGGCAGTGCCGACGCAAAGAGTATCCGGTGAAGTCTAAATCAGGCCCGAGTGTGTTTGTGTGGGTGTTTGACCTGACCTGCGATGATGGTGGTGGCTTGACGTCTGACTTGGTTCTTGTCCACGTATTCGCCGTAGTCCAGCTTCCCCTCTACTAGAATCCTCGACCTGAAAATGACAATGGCTCATTCGCACAATGTTCTTTTATTCTGAAACTCCTAATGTGATGAACAGATTCTAGAGCTTTAAAAGACCATAAAAGCATATTTTTATATCTGAAAACAGAAGTCGTAGGAGTTACTGAGTGTAGAACTCTTACTCAAAATACCAAAGAGCATCCCCCCCCCAAACCGAGGAGTGTTTTTACTCTGCAATACTAATAAAATGCTGCATGTCTTTATAAGGTAAAGAAGCACTACAACTGATTTTACATCAGGTTGTGTTTACTTGTCACGGAGGCTGTGAGAACAACCTGTTCCTGCCTGGCAGCTCCAACGTCAGCATCTTTGACTTGATATAGCTACTCTCCCTCCTCTGCACATGTCGAAACCATCTCAGCCTCGCCTCCATCTCTAACTCTGTCATATGTACACTGTCACAAAGGTGGATGCTGATTCTTACAGTAACTACTGCAAGCTCTAAATCTACAATGCCAGACAAGTCACTGGGAGTGGGTATTCTTCATATGGCCACCTCACATAATTCCCAGTCACATACCGGTCAAACCTTCTGTTTATGAGGGGCAGCCAATCAGAAGAAAGCCAGCTCATGTCTGACAGTGGATAAACACAGATAGGATTACTCTGATTACTCTGTGATTGGCTTGGGTTTGGGAACATTTAGAGAGCTGGTAAAAATAGTCATGCAGCTTTATTCCCCTTTTCCCATCCACAGCAGAGCAGTAAATCTACACACGTATTCACAGCTAAGTCTTCTGCCTGTACAGGAAACATGCAGGTCCTACCCTTTTTTGACGTACTGGTACGCCACGTCTCTCAGACCAGGTTTGAATATAGACACACGATGCCACGTCGTCTTCTGGCTGATGTCACCTGGAATTAGAAAACAGCAGCAGGCGAATCAGATTAATTGGTATTCAGACTCTCCAAAGAAACAAGAGCACTTGAAATACCTTTAAAAACCAAGCTAAGCCCAAGAGAACATGAGAAAAACAGTCAATCTTCTTATTTGGAGTGTTATTCATTCTAATATTTAAACACTTTAAAGGCTGCCTGCACGGCTTTTCTATCACAGTAAGCTATGAAACACGTCTCATCAGTTGTATTTATAATTTCTAATGACGATCATGAATGAACCATAAAGGCTGGAGTGTCTGATGATGACTGAGCCCAGTGCAGAGGCACATGAAGAGCAGCTGTCTAGACTCAAAACCTTGAAATCCAGCAGTAGTGATGAATAACAATCTGTTAACGTTCGCCGACGTCCTCTAGTGGCAAATGCCAGCAGTTGCATTCAACTTTGACTGATAAAACAGTGATGTCACAACAACATGAATATCCCACCTTCAATAGAAGCTCCACAGTTAATCGTTTATTTTGTTAAAGTCTATTAGTTTCCTAAATAATTTCCTCCTTGTTACTGAAACATCATCCAGATAGTTTATTATATCTCCTTTATTTGCACCCTCTCATCAGCTCACTCAGCTTTATCAGTGCATTTTTAACATATTTATTTTAGCATTTAAACCTTTTAAAAGAACACTTGACCTTTTATTTCATTCTACCTTCAAAATTTAAGCTAGAATGCAGAGAATGCGTCTGCTACTCAGTGACTAACACAGAAACACTGAAATGCTCGTGTTTAATTCAGGGATGCAGGCAAAGAAAAATGAGACCTTGAAGTGCAAGCAGCCCTCACCCTGCAGAAAATGCATGATAGGAAAAACATCTAGCAGCAAAAACAGCAGGTAATATCAGTTCATGTTGATCTGCAGATACGGATCAAAATCATGCAGTGCGGTAGGTAAATATGACTGAGCAACAGCAAAATGAAACAAAGCTGACCAAATCATCACAAACCCTGTTGAATGTTGGTGCTTTCAATGTGTAAAACCAGACTGAACCAAATCAGAATAAAAAGAGGGGTGTTGGTTACTTTAGTAAATCTGAGCTGAAAGATCAAGAAATGTCACATTTCAGAGGAGGACGTTTCAGTTTATTCACAATTAAAATACGATAATATATCCCAAGATTACCCTAAAGATCCTAATATATAAACAGCACTAATCCAACACATCGACATCAAGGATGTCAAAGTCATATTACAATGTGGGACACAAACAGCCCACTTTGATCTTAAGTGAAAATGCCCTTCTCTCTCAAATTTAACTATTTAATCCATGAGATATATTAATATAAGATAAATAGGTCAGTGTCAACAGTATGTTCTAGTTTTTCTACATGATAAAGAAATGCTGCTGTAGTAACTGATGAAAAAAAATCTGCCCACATGGGTTTTTGGAAGTAAATCATAAGAAACAAATGTGTAAAATTAGAGAAAAATTTCTGGTAGATCACTGCTCAGACTGAAAGTTTCTGTTAATTTATAGGAATATTTTAGTGGCTCACTTAGTTTTTTATCTATTGCTTAGTTACTTTGGTGTAGGATGAATGGCAGTTAATGCAGGACAAGCTGTGAAAGGTCTCAAAACGCAGTAAAAAACCTAAACTTTTGCCCTGGTTCACATTTCCTTAAGATGTGCAGTGGGTCTGATTGGAGTCTTTCTTGGGCCAATTCTGGCCTCCTGGCCTTAATTTTTACACATGAGAATAACAGTATGAACATCAGTTGGAGGTGTATTGTAAGTTTTTAGTAGATCTTTTGTTGGGTCTAAAGACTACATTACACTGCTACCTGATGAGCTCATTTCTCCCTCTCCAGAGCGCCACATCTCATTGGTCGCTAATGAGAAGATGGTAACCGGGTTTCGGCCCTCCACCTGTCTCATCACCGGGTCCTGGCCGACCCGACCTAACAGCTGCACCCGGTTTATCGCTGAAACAGATACAGACAGCATATTTATTACAGTTAGCCCAGCGTTTATGAAAATTCCCTTTGAATTAATGTGTAATAACTAGACACAGTCCCAGTCCTCCATGATGAGAAAACACTGCAGCGACCTGATGTTCTGATCTCAACCCATCTGAACATCTGTAAAAAGATTCGAAACCCCTCAAAGCAGAGAGAAGAGAAGCTGGAGAAGAAATTCACTTACATCTCTCCAGGATGAGGCTGGCGTCTGTACTCCTGTACCTCACCGCCTGCCGGATGATCTGAGAAGGAACAGCCAAATAGTTAAAATACTTCAAAATGTTGGCAACAAGATTTTTAAAAAAAAAATATATATTTACAATTTCTACTTTTTCCCCCATTCCATCTGTTATTAATTACAATACCTACAAATCATAAATCTAATACTGATTTTATCTGGTACGGTTTTTATGGTCCAGCGACGACCATTTCCTCCTCACCTGTGCTGATGCACTTCTAAGCATCTTTCTTCTGACTGAAGACAAACACAGCAGCTGAGACTGATACAGTGCAGATCTGAAAAACACAATAGAAATAATGTGCTGACTGCAAATATCTTCCTTAAGCTTGAAAGAAAAAAAAAAGATTATAGTTAACATAAATATGTTATCATTGCACTAAAATATCTCCCAAAGTAGCATTTCCTTCCATCCATCCATCTTCTGCTGCTTATCCATGTCTGGGTCGAGAGGGCAGCGATCTAAGCAGAAGCTCAGACATTCCTCTCCATTTCTTCTGGTGCGACACTGAGGCGTTCCCAAAGCAGCCAACTGGACCACCTGGACTTGTCCGAAACACCTCAGCTGTTTCATCTTGATGTGGAGGAGCAACAGCTCTACTCTGAGCCCACACACCTTCAGACGAAGCTCATTTCATCCATTTGTACATCTAACTTCCGCTATCATAATATCAAAACATATTATACACCGAAGTCATGGCAATATGTGAATATGAGAAAAACTACTGTGTTTCTCCAATTTTCTCTGGCTCAATGGACATGTTTATTGAGACTCTGGAAGTCTACAAGACTGTGAGTCATAACTAAAAAGACTAAAACTAATACTGATACTAAAAAACTAAACATTTTTAAACATTAAAAGCTAAAATGAAGTGAGAAAATCAACTCTAGTAACCAGCAAAATAAACAGAATTAAAAACAAAAAGCCAAAAGGAAATAAAAATAAAAAAATAATTAGAAAACAAAAAACTATAATACCTCTGAAGTGAGCCAGACCAGTGAAACACTGAAAAATCTGTAAGATTAGCAACAACTAAAAAAGTCCTGGTAGTTCCAGACTGTCCTGTAATTGTAGAACATAAATTTTTTTGTTACCTCATATCGTCTGTTTATTTTTATTTATTTTTTTATTAACACTGTGTACTCGGTATATTACACAAATACAGTTTGTAGCTTTCACTTAATTACTTTAATGTAGTACCACTGGCCAAGTCTTTAAAAGTAGAATAACAGCTAAACTTACATACAGTTAATAGTCTAAAATGTTTACCCGGATTGTGTTTGCCGGGCCGATTTTAGACACCATGCCTTATGTTTTACACCTTTGCTTTGTAGTAACTCCTCAACGTGACCTGGTGCATTTCAAGATAGCTATAGGCTTGCTTTTACAAGGCTCGAAGTCAAAAATGTAAAAAAAAAACAACTAAATAAATAAAAAAATTAATTAAAAAGATTTATTCAGAAGCAAACTGCTATTACTTTATTTTGAAGAAACAAATATATAAGTAATTTTATAACAACCCACATCCCTTTAATCCTAGTTTGTTAATAATGCTACTTTGTTTCGGTGGTTTAGAGAGAGTTTTACTAGTAAGTTCATATTTTATGTGCAACAATGAGAGTTCAGAGTTAAGCTAGCAGAGAAATTAGCCCAGTTTATGTAGCACCGACCACCAAAGTCAGAGCTCCAGGTTCTCAGAGGAGCATCGAGGCTTGATAGCTCTCCCGCCATAGGATGCAGACTCGAAACAAACCCCCTGTAATCAACGATTTTCTCCCCAAGCCCGGATTTACAGCGGGGGGCACCTGGAGAGGAACCCGTGTCACAAAACTGTACAAAAGCACCTCAGTGGCCACTAAAGAGCCGCTTATAAACTTACCAGGTGCAACACTTCACGAGAATCTTCTGTAACCTCACGCTACTTCCGGTCCGTCTCCAACAAGAGTCCGACGTTCCACGTGTCGTTAAGCGTGCCGCTTTAAGGGCCTTCTTTATTTTTCGGCTGCTCCCTGTAGGGGTTGCCACTGCCTCCATCTCACTCGCTCTCCTTTCTGAATCTTCCTCTTTTCCTCTTCATCTTCATCCTTTGTCCCTATTCATGTTGGTCACTCCCTATAAAAAAAAATGTTATCCAGAAAATAATTACTAACAATTCAAACACAAATTACTTTTTACAAACACATAGTGACAAATATTCATCTTATTGAGCTCTGGGTTATGGAAGCTTGTTTCCACCTCTGAAAAAATATTAACTTGGAGTTAAACTATGTGTTTATGCCATAGTTCTAAATACAATGAACTATTTTCTGATATTTTAGTCTTTAAGAAGAAATACATAATGCTTTTTATTCCTCTTGGTTCTTGAAACCTGTAAGCTGGGGATAGGGTGAGTCAAAAACAAAACATGGTGAATCTAGCTGCCCTGCAGTGTAGCAGTGTATAAACCAGAATTATCCCAGCTGATTTCCAAATTTGCATTAATAATAATTCAACATAAATAGGAGATGATCTTGATAAAGGCCAGTCTGCAAATATACCATTCTGGTATGTTTTTAAACTTAAGTAGTTGTTTTTGGTCTTGTGACGCTCACATGATGCTTTATTTTTACCCCAAACATTGAATATTTCCACTGACACTGAATTTATTTAAAAATTAGTTTTGAAATGGTCAGTGATCGAGTTGATAAAGTACAAGGAAATTTAGAAATAAGCTTTAGTAGTTTCCAAAACGAAAACCAAAACAAATTTACAAAAATTCAAACAATAGTTCTGGCACTTAAAGAGGACAATTAAACAGAATTAAATCGAGCTTTTATAATGAAGTAATAAACTATGAGCAGAGAACTAAGAATATTAACGTGTAGAAAACGAATTCTTTAGGCCTTCCAGCAGAGGGTGCGCTTGTTTTCCAGATCTCTCGGTGGCGCGCAGCTGACAGCGGGGTGGAGTTGTTGTTTGGTGGGATGCGGACTTTCTACAAGACAACACCCTCGCCTCTGACTTCACACTTCACACACACACACATCAGCACACACTCTCTGCGGTAGGACCGTGAACATCACGATAAGCTGTCAGTGCACGGGTCCGGGCCATGTTGCTCATAATCCACCTTTTAACCACTTTGGGTGAGTTGAAGTTTTAATTTGAACAACTTTATTTGGCTAAAATTGATCTGCTGGGACATGTTCGCTCCCATCACATGTAATGAGAGGCATCTGTAAACGATTATCCACCGTTTTCCTGTTCCAAAACAAATGCTGGAGGAGAGTTTAAGAGCTAAATAAAACTTTCAGTAGAGCACTTTCCCACAGCTGCGCATTTAATTCTCATCTGAAGAGTGAATTCATGTGATTCTAATTGAAATAAACTGATCGCAAGCCTGCTCTGTTTCTGGCTTTTATCATTAAAACCAAAAGAAGAACGAGGGCAGTGCTTTGTGCTGACATCTCACTGACACCAGTCTCTCCTCCCTGCAGCCCTGTGGGCTCCTGTCAGGGCACAGCAGGTTCCGCAGTTCCCAGATATTTGCACCGAGGGCAGCTGCTACCCAGCCACAGGTGACCTGCTGATCGGCAGGGCGCACAAACTCACCGCCTCCTCCACCTGCGGACTGAATGAGGCCGAGCGCTTTTGCATCGTGGGACACCTGGAGGTAAGAAAGGATCTTTTTTTAGAGCACAGGTAGCAGAGAAGGCTCAATGGAAGGCTTCCTGTTTTGTGTTTAACATCTGCTTTACAAAGTGCCAAAAGAAGATAGCCTTTTATATAGACTTTTTAAGCCTCACTTGACCACTCTGTTTTTATAATTAAATGAGCCTTTGTTTTTTCTAATGGCTCATTTTCTTTTTCCTATATTCATGACTAATATTCCTTTGCTTTTTTGTTTTGTTCTGTTTTTCTCCATTATATACAGTTACAAAAGAAAAGAAAAGAAAAGAAAAAACAACCCACAGAACAAAATATTGGGTCAATAATAAATATTTTCTGAGATCAGTAAGGAAATAGGGTTATCTCTAATCTTTACATAAAGTCAATTTATTCCGATTTTGGTCAAAGATACTTGCCTTAAACTTTAGATGATAACTCCAGTGTGTTTTAATGTCATTAATTATGATATTAAATACTTTTATTCAGAAGAATGTAGGGTTAGCGTCAGGGCTTCTGCAGCAGTAAATCTAGCTACGTTATGTTTTTTGGCCATGTTTTACTCCAGAACGTCACAGTGAGTAAGAGCGAGTCCTGTGACAGCTACAGCAGCAGAAAATCTAACAACAGCTCTGATGAGTCTCAATTTCCGCTGCATTCTTTGGATGGCAGGGTTGTTGATGGCAACAACATGAGCGCATGGATCCATCCTGCCTTATATCACCAGCTCAGGCGGGTGGTGTTTGTGCTGTAAAGCTGTGGGGGATATTTTCTTGGCACACTTTTGCTCCTTTAGTGGACAGGTGGATTACTGCATTTTTAACTACTGTACATCTGTTTATTGGATCATAATTACAGTCATATGCATGCAAAAATATACATAGTAAGGTTTAAAAACGTACTATGCTTCATCTCACCACTTGTGAATACTTATCCTCGATTGTTCTCTCATCCAGTGGTTAGACTCGAGTAGTTTTTCTTTCTCTTTGATTTTAAACCACGGTTTGTAAAAACAAAGCGTAAACTCAAAGCTGTGATTGCCTGCAGAGCAGATTTTTCCCATTGGGATGATTCTGAATATAATCAGAAAGAAAATATATTGACTGTAATTATATGTGACAGTTCATATATGTCATACGTCATTTAAGTGCAACATTTAAAGGATGTCAGTAGAAAAAGCAAACATCACTGATATATAAGAGTGCCATTCACAACATGAGCAGTTTCCTTACAGCACAACACTCATGAACTCAGGCCCACAGTTCAACCATGTGAAGCAATTCTAAGTCTCAGTGGACTTCGTGAACCGTCTCTGTAAACAGAGTTGTGGAAAGAGACGTTTAGCCAACTGAATTATTCCATCTTGGTGTTTCCTGCCACTACGGTATTTCTGTAACAGATGGCTCAAAGGCCTGTTGGATTATTGGATTTCTGTAGCTGACATCAATTTTCAGAGCTTTATTTCTGAAATTTTGAATATTTCTAGCTTCATATTTTTCTAGATGCTGCTAGGGAAGCTTTGCATTATTAATAGTCTATTTATTATTTGTATTTTACTTATACCTTGGCCTCAGTGTAGCTCCTCTGACTGAAATAGCTGGAAAGCTTGCCTCCACCAGTGTGTGAATGTGAGAGTGAATGAATAGTGGAATTGTAAAGCGCTTTGAGGGTCTCGAAAAGCGCTATATAAATGCAATCCATTATCATTAAAGCTGTTTTAGCTTCTCATAAACATAAGGTTTTAACAGCTAGCGGGTCGGTCTTCTAGGCTCACAGTTAGATCTGTGTGCCTAGAAGACCATATTAGGCACAGGCACACAGAATGGCATCATACAGAGCCAAAAGCAGAAAAAACTGCCAGAAACAGAGCGTCTGAAGATTGAGGTTTTGTCTTGGTCACACACAGATCTCACTATTTGAAACTTTGGCCATGTTTAATTCACCAATGTAACAGTACATATCTATATCTATATCTATATCTATATATATCTATATATAGATATATATAGATATATATATCTATATATAGATATATAGATATATATATAGATATATATAGATATATATATCTATATATATCTATATATAGATATATATAGATATATATAGATATATATATATAACCGGAAAAGTATTAAAGGTTCACTTTAACTTTGTAGAATTGTATTTGAAAAACTGACCATACTAACACGGGGAGTTTTACATTTTAAATGATTTCACCCTAAATAAAGTTGTTAAACACTTTACTTAAATATTTTTCTTTCCTTATTGCCTCCCTGGCCGGCGATCATTTCTGCGTCATTGTCCAACATGAAACACAACTTTCAACAATCACAGCATGCCACTTCCGAACACATTTGTGTGTCAGCTTAACTCACTTTAACAAGCTAATGCAGTTCTCCTGCTCCCCTCAAAAGCACTTTCATATCTTCACGACTTTGATAAATTTGATTAGATGATTACGTTTTTGAGAAGTCCCTCGTAGCTGCAGACAAAGTCCCTGCAAATGGTAGAAAGTGGGTCAGGTGTAAATTGAAGATTTCTATGACTTATCGCTTTTGAATTCTTTCAACATACATTGTTGATATCAGTGCTTTTGAGACAGTGCAGCTACTGAATGAATGAAACCTTAGTAAATGTAGTGATGAAGAGGCCCTTCAGTGAATATAACCCATGTTACTCTAGCTACAATTTACAGATGAATCATTGCAGGCTATCATTAAGTGACTGTTTTGGAAAAGGGGCAGTTATGAGGTTATATTCACTGAATATGTGTGTGTGATGTTCAAAACCTGACTGTGCAATTGTGGGATACAGCGTCTTTATAAACTACTCTTCCAAAACAACATGGCCAAATTAAAATTAAACAGAAATCTTCTAGCTGCTTTTGTCAGAAGCAGTTTTTGACCATCAAAACTGGTTAGAAGTTTATTTTAAGCCTTGGTTTTAGGGTTAAATTTAGAATTAAGCTTAGCTTAGGGTCTGCTTAGTTTTGATGGTTAACTTGAGGGGTAACTTGGGATTGTATAAATGTCCTCCCAAACAAGCATGTTTGCCCCTCACCCTAAGCACAGAGTGGCGCAAGCAACAGTTACTGTAGGTAATATTTCAGCATCAAATAAGAGAACGGGTGATCCAAATGACCTCAAACTTAGCATCACATCAAATTGTTACCCAAGCAACACACATGCCAAGTTTGAAGCAGATCACGTGTACAGTTGTAGAGATAAGAGAAGAGCAAATAGACGTGGAGATTTCTCCAACTGTTCTCAAACATGTGATGGTGTTCAGCACACAGCAACTTTATTTTACTCTGTTTCTCTGAT